TCTGCTCCTCCCCTCACAAACAACCCCCACCCCCAAACAGTTAATCTTTGTTGTTACAAAAATATAAAAAGTTGTTAGGATTCTCTACCAATTTGATGTGGGTTTTCAAGCCAAATGCTCTTAAGCAAATGCAATAGCTCCCAAAACACAAAACGTAATTAGTGAGAGAGAAAGAGTGTCTGAGTGTGTGTGTGTGTGTGTGTGTGTGTGTTTGTATGTGTGTGAGAGAGAGAGAGAGAGAGAGAGAGAGAAAGAGAGAGAAGCTGACACAAATAGCCGAAATAAATTTAGCTTCCAGTGACATTGTGGATGTTCAGTTATCAGGGCGGAAGCAAAAGCATCAAGGGAAGACAGATGCCCGGCTTCGAGTCATTGGCTCGGCCCAAGCTCTGGGAGTGCTGCTTCCAGGCCATGTCCTAGAAATGATCTGGGACTTGTGGACCATTCTGTTCATTTCACCCCAGCTGGAGACCCCAGGGTCTCCTCCTCTTTCCACCACATTCACTCACTCACCTCACCATGACTCTGCTTCCTAAGCATTTCTAGAACTCAAACTGGCACCTCCCCCAACCAAATCCTGTGCCCCACTGCAGTCTTCACGGCGACCACCTCACCAGCCTCCTTCCTTTTCTCCCTCCCGCCCATCACTGACTCTACCAGGAGCTCTTTGTGAAGCCTAGACCTGACTGGATCCCTCAGTCTGGCTCAGAAAGCCCTGGGACTGGACTGCTGCGCAGCCATTACACAGGAACTGAGGTCACTGCTGGTGGGCATATAAACTTATACAACCTCTAGGGTGCGTAATTTGGTAAGATCCATCTAAATCAAACATGCACATGGCCTTTGACCCCGCAAATCAATTAAAAAAATAATCCTACAAATACAAACAAGTGTGAAGCAACAAACATATAAGGAGATGAATTTCAGCATGGCTTGTCATAGCAAAAGACTGACACCCATCTGAACAACCCGTGGAGAACTCTAAATCGGAGGTTCTCACATGAACACCCAGAAGAATTGTCAGGAGGGCTTGTGAAAACAGACTGCCAGGCCCACCTTGAGTCTCTAACTCAGAATCTGCATTTCGAACCAGTCCCCAGGTGAGGCTGTGGCCGCTGCTGCTGGTCCAGTGATCATACTCTGAGACCAGTGCTCTAAACAAATTGTGGGGCACAGGCTGGATCCCACAGAGCTGCCGAAGAACATGACCACTCTGTACGCACAGATACACTGATCTCCAACATATACTTGGTGAAAATAGCCAGGGGCCAAAAAGTGGATTTATAACAAAATGTAAGTTATACTGCAAAAATGCAGGGAAAGCATATGCTTATTTATTTGTAAAGGCACAGAATTTCTTGGATATCCAAGAAACAGGTAACAGGGGGTGCCTCTGGGGAGGGAAGCTGGGTAGCTGGGTGGGACGGAGGCTTCGTGATGCCCTCTGCACCTCTGGACTTCTATACCACAGGCATGTGTTACTTACCCTCCCTGACACAAAATAATGAGGCAGATCTGCAGATATGGACAGGAAAATGACACAGCGTGTCACAGCGTTAAAACAAACAAACAAAACCCATGTCAAACTGCAGAGCAGTATGTACTATAAAATCCCACTGCTATAAAAATAAATTTACATCTGTGTATACACACAGGCACACACACATTTATATATACATAGAAAAGTTCTGGAAGATTACACACCAAAGAGCTAACTGGGTTCCTTCAAGGAATGGTACTGAGGAGGCTTTTCCTTTATACTTCTGCATGGCTTGCAATTTTTTTTTTTTTTTTTTTTACAAGTGTGTGGTCATTTTGTAGCTATGATGATGAACTACTGTGTTGCCTTCAGGATTGTATCATGCAGAAAGGCTGCAGGCTGCCTGAACATCTTTCTGTTATGGCCTCCACGGCCCTGCCCCGGGGGCTCGCATCCCACTGCTCGCTGCCCCTCTGAATGCACCCTGCAAAGCCATGCCTCCCTCTCTCCTGTTCTGCCTGCTGAACTTTCACCCATCTTTGCAAAGGCAGCTGCGGCCTCCTCTGGAAGGTATATCAGGATTCGGTTTAGTTGGCGGCTTACACAGCTGTTTCTCCGTGGGGCACTGAGCTCTGGGAAGACAAGGCCTGGCATTTGTTGTCCCAGCACCCCTGGTACCCAGCCCAGGGCCTGGCACAGAGCAGAAGCCCAGTCCAGTTGGCTGAGGGGCTCCTCTGAGTTACAGGCCAAGGGCCTTTGAAGTAATCTGATCCCCAGCTATTGCCTGGGTTGGGATTTGCTCCCTTCTGGGAACACAGGTCTCTGAGAGGGATGGGCACCCCTCTAAGACTGCACCTCCCACAGCTACTTCTTCCCAACACACTCCTGGATGCTCCACCTTCTTCTCTCCATGATTTCACAATTTGCCCTGCCTGTTATGGACAACTTGGCTCCAGAGATAATTCTGTCCTCACATGCCCTCCCTCAGCTGGCTTTAAGGTCTAACACTGGTGGGAAATCAAAACTCCTGGGCCCCCACACTAACTTTTCTCTCTCCTTGCCACATGACTGGGAAACATGACTCAGGGTAGAAAAAGGGAGTTGCTGGCTTCCCCCCGCCCCCAGGCCCAAATGCCACTTGCGTGGGTCTTTAGAGGCACATCTATCAAGGACAGCCTTGGATTAGGTTTAGCAACACCTAGTTCTGCCCTTTCTTGGCAGAGGGATCAAGAGTAGTCATTTCTTTGACCCTCAGTTTCTTTCTCCATAAGACAGGGAAAATAAAACTGGTTCCATCTGTAACATTCAGTTGCTGGGAGAACCAAAGATGGTGAAGGCTTTGTTCAGGCAGAACATCCTGGTTATTGGTGGTGGGTCTAGCTGTCTGCAGTTTCACGCAGCTGCAGGAGACGGTGGGCAAGGTATTCTAGAGGCCATGGTGGACGGAGCGCTCTCTTCTATGCACACCCTCTGTTCCCACCACACCAGAGCTTTGGCCAACTCTTCAGCTATCTTTTTTCTTTAAAGATTTATTTATTTGAGGGGTGCCTGGGTGGCTCCATCATTAAGCATCTGCCTTCGGTTCAGGTCATGATCACAGGGTCCTGGGACTGAGCCCCACATCGGGCTCCCTGCTCCGTGGGAAGCCTGTTTCTCCCTCTCCCGCTTCCTCTGCTTGTATTCCCTCTCTGTCTCTCTCACTCTCTGTCAAATAAATAAATAAAATCTTTAAAAAAAAGATTTATTTATTTGAGAGCGAAAACAGAGGAAGAGAGAAAGTGCACAAGCATGAGCAGGAGGGGCAGAGAGGGAGAGAACCCCAAGCAGATTCCATACTCGTCGCAAAGATGGACGCAGGGCTCGATCTCACAAGATCGAGATCACGATCTCAGCAGAAAGTAAAAGTCAGACGCCTGAACCCTGCTTAGAAGAGGCAGAATGGGGGGTGCCTGAGTGGCTCAGTGGGTTAAGCCTCTGCCTTCGGCTCAGGTCATGATCTCAGGGTCCTGGGATCGAGCCCCGCGTCGGGCTCTCTGCTCAGCGGGGAGCCTGCTTCCCTCCTCTCTCTGCCTACTTGTGATCTCTCTCTGTCTGTCAAATAAATAAATAAAATCTTTGGGGAAAAAAAAAACTTAAAAAAAAAAAAAAAAGAGTTGGAATGGAAAGGCAAGTAGGGCCATCTAAGCCCTGACTATTTCCCTTTGTGTCTGCCCAAAGAAGGACCCAACAGAGAGTTCCCAACAGAGAGTTCTCTGATCTTGGGTAAGGAAGGTGGTAGACCTCAAGTTGTGTAATGGTTTGAAAAGCCACACTTGAGCAGTTTCAAAAGTGGCAGCTGCCTTGCGGACCTGCCCTCTTCGGGTAAGACAGCTTCCGCTTAGGTTCAGCTTCAGGTTTTGGTGGGGGAGGAGCTACAGATTAGGAGGGGAGAGGGTGCCAGGAAGTGAGAAGCAATCGGTTCAAGGGGCTGGAGAAGGCTTAATAGGGAAGAAGATGGAGAGAGGGGGAGATGATGGGGTCCTTCTAGGTGTCCAATGGGACATATGTTGAGGACGATCAGGAATGGGTCTGGCCTGGTCTCATAAGGGAGCCCAACAGCAGCTCAGTAGGTGAGCTCAATTTGGTGGAGGGACTGTCTTAGGGAGCACAGAGAGAAAAGCTACTTCAAGGTAGGGTCAGGGTCTGGGGGGTGGGAACAGGGTGAGGAGTTGGGAACAGGGTCTGGGCTCAGGCTAGGACAGGTCCAAGACTGGGAGTGTCTACCAGTCAGGAAGACCAAACCAGCAAAAGAAGGGGTCTATGCTTGGTTAAAAAGAGAGGCACTGTGGTGCCAGGTTCTGAGGGGCTGGTTGAGTGAAACTGGTCTGAGAAGTGAAGCCAAAAACTGGTGCCTGAGCTGTGACTATATCCTTGGTTTAATTTTTTTTGAGGCGGCTCAAGGGCCTGATCTGGAGGTTTTAGAAGAGTACATTATGGGTCACAGATTCTAGCTAGACAGGTGTCACAGTTTCAGGATGCCAGAATTTGCCCTAGGGTGGATGAGGCAGGGTTCCGAATGGAGGAATGACAGGGGACTGTACCACTCAGTTGTCAGGACCAGCGCCCCATCAGGTTCAGACGGGGGTTGACCCAGAACCCAAGAAGAGGTGCCCCATATGGGATAAGCAGCCAGAGCAGAGGGTGGGGCCGGCCTCGCTGGGTCCAGCAGGCTCAGAATAATACACTGCCCGAATCCCGGTGTGAGGCTGACAGTGTTTGCAGCATGACGGACAGAGGCAGGGATATGTCAGGGTCCGAGCGGGGGCAAAAGCCGGTCCCTGTGAGGGGTGTCAGATCCCGGAGCACCCAGGGCCAGGTCCCGGATATGGTCTCGGGATGGGGACGCGGTGGCGATCCATGCCGTGAAGGGTCAGGGTCTGGGGAGAAGTGTCTGTTCCGCCAAGGGCGGGAGGGGGGGTCCGTGTCAGTCGTGTCCCAGGTGGGAGACGGAAAGCGCGCGCGGTTTTGCCTCCGACCCTACCTTGCCGCGGGCGCAGCGCACCGAGCGCAGGGCCCCGAAGAAGATGGGCAGCAGCGCCATGAGCAGGAGGCTGCCGTAGGCCAGCGCGATGCCCTCGGGCGTGGAAGGCGGCCGCGTCGTGCCGTTGGCTGCGCCGCCTGCCTCCGCGCTGCCGTTGTGCGGGTCGCTGAGGGCCGAGTCCATGGCGACACTGCGCTCGGGGTCCGACTCCAGCTCCTGCCGCCGCAGCGGAGACGCAGACGCTAAGACGGGCGCTGCGGGGAAAAGCCACGTTCCCTTAAAGAAACAGGAAGTGACGTGCTGCCCTCGCCGGTCCGCGCCGCGCACGCGTGCGCGTTCACGTCTCCCCGCCCGCGCGCCGTCTAATGGTAGCGGAGGGCCGGGCGACCAGTTGCTAAGCAACTCGCAATGGGTCGGGAAAGGAACCCTGAGACCGCTGTGCTGGGCATCCATCCGAAGGGAGACCTGAGGATCCCATACCCCGGTCCCAGACGACTTCCTCAATCGCCTTTTCCTTTTTCCACAAGACCTCATCCTGATAACTCAGAATTTGTTCATTCATGCGTGATCCATCCAATATTTAATTGTTCCTTCACTCTTTAAAAATTTGAGTATCCCATTATAAGTCAGACGCTGCCCCAGGCTCTGGGGACACAGAGAGGAACAATACAGGCAAAAGTCCGTCCCTTTACTCGTGAAGCTTTCACTTTTAGCGCGGTGGTAGGGGAAGGGGTTGGGAAAACAATAAAATGAAGAAAATAAATAAAAATATGGAGTCTGTAAGATATTCGTATGTACTTATGTATTCTATAGTATGTTAATGGACATAAATAATTCAGACAGACCTCCCTCTCTAGGAATCTAGTCCACTTCTGGATTTAGCTTGGGCCAGGGGACAAAAATCAGGGGGTTGGCTATGCAGATGGGAAGTCCTGGGGAGTTTCCAGTGTATAGGTGTGTAAGGCTGAGGAGAAGGTGTGGGCAGGAGTAACCTGAATTTGGGCACAGACCCATGCTGTCTGGGGCTCCTGGCTATGCAACTGCTACCCTAGTTACAAGCTGGAGGAAGTATGTGGTCGGCAAACTGAGAAATTTGCACCGTGCAGACACCAGGCACTGGAGAAATTTTGGGCCAAGTAGTGGAGGAAAAAATCATGCTCTCCAAGAACCCAGGAAGTAAGCCAACCGGAAACCTGGAAAGGAAGGTCCATTCCCCCTCCAATATGCCTTTAGTACCTTGTAGTGAAAAAGCTTAACTATGTGAGCTGGAAAAGGAGAACTGCTTAGAAGGCCCAGCTCCATTAATACAGAGAGGCAAAAAGAGTGGATTTAGAGCTGAGACGCAATGAGTTGATAAATGACACAGATGGTATAAAATCACATGTCCTGGTCCAAGCTTGACAGGTGGGGAGGTGGGTTTGGAGCATGGGAGTCATGGTGAGGGCAGACAAAGATAAGTAGTCAGACTAAAAGAGTTCTATTTTGTTTTTGTTTTTAGAGGGAAAGGACAGAGGGAGAGGGAGAAAGAGCACCTTTTTATTTTTTTAAGATTTTATTTATTTATTTGATGGAGAGAGACACAGTGAGATGGGGAACACAAGCAGGGGGAGTGGGAGAGGGAGAAGCAGGCTTCCTGATGAGCAGGGAGACCAATGTGGGTCCTATCCTAGGACCACATGATCATGACCTGAGCTGTAGCCAGACGCTTAACAACTGAGCCACCCAGGCGCCCTGAGAAAGAACATCTTAAGTGGGTTCCACATCCAACAAGGAGACCAAAGGAGGCCTCCATGTGTGGTTCAATCTCACAATCCTGGGATCATGACCTTGGCCGAAAACAAGAGTCAAGTCACTTAAGTGACTGAGCCACCCAGGTGCCCCAGACTATAAGAGTTTGAATAATAGGTTGTTTGGGGTCACCTGGATGGCTCAGTTGGTTAAACGTCTGACTCTTAATCTCAGCTCAGCTCTCAATCTCAGGGTTGTGAGTTCAAGCCCCACATTGAGCTCTATGTTGGGCATGGAGCCTACATTTTTTTTTTTTTTAATTTGACAGAGATCACAAGTAGGCAGAGAAGCAGGCAGAGAGAGAGGAGGAAGCAGACTCCCCACAGAGCAGAGAGCCCGACGTGGGGCTTGATCCCAGGACCTTGGGATCATGACCTGAGCCGAAGGCAGACACTTTAACCCACTGGGCCACCCAGGTGCCCCTGGAGCCTACATTAAAAAAAAAAAAAGAAAGAAAGAAAGAAAGAGTTGTTTGCCTAGTATGTGCCAGACACTGAACTAGTAACTTCATGTGTATATAGGGGTGTGTGTGTGTGTGTTTTATCTCCATAACATTAGTAAGAGATGACTGGTCCCATTTTACAGATGAGGAAACTGAGCCTCACAGAAGTAAGCTAAACTAGCCAGCCCAGGTTACACAGCCAGAAGTGGAACAGGAGCCTCTTGAACTCAGGTCTGTGGGACTCCAAAGATTTTGCTCTTTGCAACATTCCAGCTATGTGGGAGGCTAAGGAGTATGGATCAGAATAACTTAGTTCTGGGCAGATGGTGTCCAGCTTCAGGCTGTGTTTTTCAATAAGCTGGACATGACTGGAATGAATGGATGAAGGCAGTGTGCCTGATGAATTCACACATCAATAATTCAAGCCACAGGATTCGCGCAGCAACCAGACCTCACTGCTCTGTGCCTCCTTATCGGAGAGGACAGGATTGGAAACTGGAGATAGTCCTGCTTCCCCCATGGCTAAGGATTTGATTTAGTTTGCTCTGGGGCAGATCCGGCCATCACTCTTTACATTGCAGAGTGGGAGATTGTAAATATGACCCAGGGAACTAAGGGCGTGACCCAAGTTCAGAAAGATCCTCTGGGGGCTTGGATTTCTGGCTTGGAGCAGACCTGTTTGTTTTTTTTTTTTGTTTGTTTGTTTTGATGTTATCTATGGGGCGCCTGGGTGGCTCAGTGGGTTAAGTCTCTGCCTTCGGCTCAGGTCATGATCTCAGGGTCCTGGGATGGAGCCCCGCATTGGGCTTTTTGCTGGGCAGGGAGCCTTCCTTGCCCACCCCGCCCCCGCCTGCCTCTCTGCCTACTTGTGATCTCTCTGTCAAATAAATAAATAAAATCTTTAAAAAAATGTTATCTATTTTTAAAAAGATTTTATTTATTATTTGAGAAAGAGAGGGAGAGGGGGAGAGAGAGAGAAAGAGGGAGCATGAGAGGGGGAAGGGCAGAGGGAGAAGCAGACCCTCTGCTAAGCACGGAGCCTCATGTGGGTCTCGATCCTGGAACTCCAGGATCATGACCTGAGCTGAAGGTGGTTGCTCAACCAACTGAGCCACCCAGATGCCCCAGACCTGTCTTTTTCTTCCTTTTTTTTTTTTTTTAAAGATTTTATTTATTTATTTGACAGAGAGAGAGATCACAAATAGGCAGAGAGAGAGGGGGAAGCAGTCCCCCGCGCTCCCACCCCCGCCGCCAAGCAGAGAGCCCAACGTGGGGCTCCATTCCAGGACCCTGGGATCATGACCGGAGCTGAAGGCAGAGGCTTTAGCCCACTCAGCCACCCAGGCACCTCCCCAGACCTGTCTTGATATTGTCTGAAAACAGGAATGAGATCGCCTGCAGGTGGGTGTCCTGTGGCTTTAACTACTGAAGCCTCCTATATGGGGTTACTTTCCCAGAGGATGTCTGAACTGAGGTCAAGAATGCAGCTTGTTTAGAGCCTGGGATAGTTAAATTACCAAATACTTGTTCCAGAGAAGGATGGGTCCCCACTCTCCTATTCACTTGTTCCTGTATCCGGTCACTGTGAATGGATTTCAGATTTTCCAACCTTTTTCCCATATATGCTCACACACATACTCACTCACACTTACACATACTATTAAATGTTTATTCCTGAAAATAACAAGCAAAGATCATGAATGGATGCTGAAACTGTTATAAGGTTGAGGAACAGGATTGCCATACAGTCTTAGAGCGTCACGCCATGGATTACCTGCTAATTACAAAAGGAAGAAGTTTCCTTTATGATGGAGCGACAAAACAGGAAAGGATGGGTTGGGACAAAATGACAAGCTGTGCTACAATGTGCGGGACACGTCATCTGTGCGGTCTTCTTGCCAAATATGTTTGACCCACACCTACTCAGGAAGGAACATCAAAAAAAAGTCAGAAAAAAATACAGACTGTTGAACAGTCTACAAGACAACTAGCCCGGTCTCTTCAAAAACGTCAACTCCTCGGGGGGGGGAAAAAAAATCCCCATGGGGATTGTTGCGGATGAAAGGAGACAAGCGTAAAGTACCATCTGTGATTGGATTTTGGGTCACAACATTTTAAAATAGGCTGTAAAGAAAAATTTCAGATGAACGGGGAAATCCGAATACTGGTTGTTTGGGTATCATTGTATCGTGACTGTAGGATCTTACTAATCAAGGTGTGGTGCCCAGGTTCCCCCCCAAAGCATCCCCTGGGAGCCTGGAAGCAATGCAGAATCTCCACTCCACCCAGGACCTTCTGGAACTCCAGCAGATCCACACGCACACTCGGTTTCGGGAATGCTGGTGTAGGAGAAGCTCCTTATTCATGGGTGATCCATGTCTGCCTCAGGGCCCAGGTAGTCCTTGATCCTGGTGAGAGAATGGGCATGCAAGTCGCAAAACTGTGTGCCTGATTACTGTTCTTATTACCTGCTGAAGTCATAGGGCCCTCCGTATAGGTGCGCAGCTAGTGTTTGTATGTGAATGAGTGAATATATTGTTCTCTTCACCCAACCTTCACTTTCTCACCCCACAATCCCTCACAGCTTGAGTCATATGTCAGCTCGGTGTCGGGTTCCAATTTCAGGGAACCCCAAGGAACCCCTGTATTTCTAGCAGGGTGGAGCTGGCATGAGGGCCCCAGGGATTTTACTAAGATCAAAGAAACAGGGAGAAACACTTTTTGGTGTCTCTATACCTCCTTATTTTCGGACTGGAATCCTCATTTGGGAAAATCTTTTTGGAGACCCAAATGGCTCCTGTGAATTACTTTCAGCTCCATGATCCTAGAGAAATTCTTGCACAGGTCGATTAGGGGACATATCCAGGGATTTCCAGGAATGTTTGTTATTTTTCTTGGTAGCAGGAAGTTAGAGTAAACCTAGGTGTGTGTCGCTGGGGAAGGGATTGATAAGATGTGCTGGAAATACACGATGGGTTGCTGGGCAGCACCAAGAAGCAACCGTCTCTGAGCGTGCTCAGCGGGGTGGTGCTGCCTCCTCATTTGGGGAGG